TAAGAAAAAGATATCGATACTCTTGATGAAATTTTTCTTATAGACCCACATAAACCTAATATATACTTAATCATGCCTTAATATGGTCCATACCAATAAGCCAAATTAATTTCTAAACCATTTTTTGGGAATATAAAGGTGTGGGGGGGGGGGGGGGTGGGGGTGAGGGAGTTGGAGCAAATTTAAGTTTATACCATGCCTTAAAGTTTATTTATCTTCTAAAACTAGATGATAGAAGAAATCAAGAAATAGATACTTCGTAGAAACTATACTCGTTCTCACAAAATTTGACCCAACAATTGCAACATTTGACGCTTTTGCACAATCACTTGAAATACACAAATTAAAATAAGTAGTTGCAAAATTGTCACTAAACATAGATTTAAATTGCAAATGTACAATGTCAAGGAGTCTGGTTTCAAATTTCAATATTGTTGTGCTTGGGCGTACAATATACCTTCTAGTATTAGTACAAATCGAAGTAGAAAATGCAAAGATCCCAATAGTAAAGGTTAAATGACGATATTTTCTCCTAATCAATTACCAATATAAGAAATTCAAAGTCCCTATATAAAATAGTGTTGTATTTTCATCAAATTTATTTAGAATTGGGTTAGGGTTTAGTTTTAGTTGTATCAGTTAGTCATATGTCTCCATTTTTAGGATCGTACCACATATGCAATATATATGCGTCAAACTAGGGATAGGGATAAGCGGAGGATATAGTGACTATAGTGTTATTAGAGTTCTATATACGTTTTCATCTTATGATTTCTGTGTTCAAGGCTAGTATATATCTAGTAAAAAGGATTTTAAAGCTATCTGTTCTAATTTTTCTCTATGAATTAATAAGAAAAAGGGCATTAATAGTCTTGATGGAAATTTCCCTAATCAATCCCACATAAACCTAATATCTAATCATGTCTTAATAAGGTCCCCGCCAAGCTAAATTAAGTTTTAAAATCACTTGTATCGTGAGAGTAAAGCGTATTAGTTGGTTAGAGCTTCCCTCCCAGTTTCATGGGATGCTAGGATCTATTCTTATTATCCGTACTTGTAGCTTTTTAAAGTGATCAAACTATATAGAAATATATACGAAGTATTTTTTTTCCTCATTGAAATTGTAGTGTTTGAAGAGTACTACAAATTCACAAATTCTAAATTGTGTATGATTGAGTTATTAGTTGGGCCCTATTTTAAGAGTTAAATTAAGGTTTTCAAGTCTTAATCTGTACTCTCCACATCAATTCACCCACGTACTCTTAACTATGTGGTCATTAAAATTCAAATCCTTTTATATATTAATCTAAAAGTATTCTTAAATTTTTTGTATATCATACACATATACGATGTATGGACGTAAATTTAATCAAATTAATTAGCTGTGTCAAAAAAAAATATCAAATTAATTAGCTAATTAATTATACGCGTTATTGACGCATGCACTAATAATGTTAGTTAGTACGTATAATTAAACTCTCTCTCTCTCTCCTTTTCAGTTCATCAAACCCATTCATACTTTATACAATCGTACAGATTATAAAAAACATTTTTTTTTTCTGCACAAAACATTAGACACGTGATAAGAAAGAAGAGTATGGAAGAGAGCCCAAAACAGTTAGCAACTTGCATAACCGTTATATTTTGGCATACCCCGTAATTATTGGTGTCACTTGAATAAAAAAAATTAAATAAACAAAAAATAGGAAAAAGGTAAAAGAAGTTAACAAAAATATACAATCGTGGTTGTAAAAAAAAAAAAAAAAAATTACAACCGTACAATTACGTGTTAAATACAAAAATAGATTGCACATGGCATAAACTATTACCAATTACCAAACATAGAATTGAAGAATATTCTTTTGTCATAGAGAGTCTTAAATGGGAATGAACTTAACAACCAATTAGCTAACGGCTTAACGGATAGCCTTAGCATAAGGTATGGGGTGGATGATCATGGATGTAACATTGTCAACGTTTAAATTCCTTGCAACCTTATCGGATTAGTTGGAATTTGATAGGCTAGTGTACTTTATAATGGGACGTAATTTTTTTTTGGAGACGTAGTGTTATTGAAGATCTATTTAGTAATTACTAATTACATAGACAATTAATGAGTGGATTGGAACATATTATGCATAATTGATTTGGTATATAGGGAGAATAGTAGAGATCATCATAATAGTTAGGATTACTATTATTTTCGAGTTAGTAGTGTTTTTGTTTAATTATTTTGACTTATTCCATTTAAAATCAATTCAAACGAAACAAAGTACATATATATGGAATATTGAAATTCCACTTATCTCACAACTCGAGGAATTAAGACATAAATTGCTTAACTTTCAAAGGAAAAATGAAACTACGAGTAGATTTTAAAGTGTCATTCTATCATGCATTATTCATTTTGAAACTACTCATGACTACAAAATTGTAATACAAATTACAAATACGAGATAGGATGTTGGCTGACACAAACTTGTAAATTAAAACTATTGGTTTTGATATAATAATACATTTTTTTTCTTTTCTTAAAAATATACGAAGTATATATATATATATATATATATATATATATATATATATATATATATATATATATATATATATATTTGTATGGAGTAATTTTTTGTATGGAGTAATTTACAGTTCTTATCATCATCACGTGAATATAGTGTTGACATCCAGTTTTTAAAATCTTAGCTCTGCCATTAATTACTTGAATTATGAATACGCCAAAAATAAAATAATAACTTAATTAAAAATTACGGTGTATAAATTTATAAGCATGCAATAAATTACATGCAAAGGGTTTCCCATGCTTTCTAGGACAATTCTCAAAAGAGTAATTGTTAGAATATATTAAAATATATTATTTGAAGCAAATCAACCATTTAAAGTTGGCTCTTGCAAATTGCAACGCTGGTCGGATAGCCTGGAATTTAATTATTGCGACGAAGAAATTGCTGGCCAATTATGAATTTACTTTGCTTATTACGTTTCAATAATTCATGATTCACATGAGTTCACAAATGGATATCTTGTTTCCTCGTACATATGCTTATTAAGTTATTATAATACTTTCTTTTTTAAAAAAAAAGAGTTATTATTATACTCCGTATAATATATACACCAATACTCCTCCAATCTTTTTTAATTTATCCATTTTCCATTTCTAATAAGAGTATCAACTTCTGTTGTTAGATTTATTACCTCTATTTTATCCATAATTTAGTTATTTTTTCTTACACACACTCATCACTTAATTTACTACTCTCCATCTCTCTTCTTTTATTCACCCTATGTCATATTATTGTTATTATTGTTATTATTAATTCTTATAGAATCAAATCATGTTTTATCGGACTTAAAAAATTCAAGTCATATTCGACGATATCTTTTTATATTCATTTTCTTATTGACAAAAATATTGTTAATTAAGCAATACTCCTAGTAAAATTAGATATTTTAAAAACATGCATTACTAATTAATTTACTATAGATTATTCAACAAAAACTCTCTTTGATGATGATGTTTTTTGTTTTATATTCTATGATCAAAATTCAATCAAATCAAGAGATGAAATCTAATCGAGAACTCCTAGAATAATTAGGTAAATATCAGTTTCTATCTTTCGATCATTTAAATTTAATTTCAATAATTAATATTTAATTATTATTAGCACAATTCAATTTTAATCATTAATTTTCAGTTCAATGAAAACTAGATGAATCAAACATGTATTAGGTGAGTAGACCAAAACGGAGTGAGCACATGCAAAGTATTAATACTTCAATTCTTTAATTGAAATAACTAAATTTAAAAAAATGTGTAAAAAAAAGAGTTAAAAAAAAATTATACAAATTATGTACTGATAAAGCTAAATATTTGGACGTTTTTCCAAAGTGAGCCAATTTTGGCAAATATTAACCAAAATGGTTGCGTGGCAAAAGTATTTACCAAACTAAGCTTCCAGGCTAAAACGCTGTCTCGGTCAGCGTTTTATGCCTGGTTTTTTTTTTAAAAAAAAAATCAACCTAAAAACGCTGTCTAAGACAGCGTCTTTGTTCTTGACCTTTTTTTAAAAAATTTTTGTAATTGCCTTTTATTTATAAAAATGTTTTTAAAAAACAAATACCAAAGACGTTGTCCCAAACAGCGCTTTATGTACAAAATTCCTTGTACCTCGCTGTCTCAGACAACGTCTTATTTTCAACCTAAAACGCTGTCTGGGACAGCGTTTCTCTGCTGGTGTGCAAAACAGCAGCAGAATCAGCCTTTTGCCACTGATCTGCCACTTTCTTCTGCCCCCACCCACCACCCCCTGCCATGATTCTTGCCACCACAATCCACCAACAACCCCCACCATCGACCACCATCTGCCACCACTTTTGACCTCCAACAACACTTCAACCAGCTCCACCACCAACCCCAACCATTCAACAACGATAACCACCCACCACAACCAACAACACTAAAACCACCATGAACAACCACATTAACCACCACGGGCCATCCTTTCTTCCCCATTTTCGACTATGGATTCCAAATGTCTGTTGTTTAATGTACATTAGCCCTGAAGGATCTATTTTGACTAACATAAATCCGATTTGGATAAATAAGCAAACAAAACTTCAAAACACAAACAGATTCATTCAACCAGCATGTCTTATATTGATAATGCAATCGTTATATACAGCATTCCAGGAAAAAGGACAAAACAATGATACAATACGTTCACTACTCATCAATTTGGTGTAACCCTTCCCTAGCCTCACTGTCGTCCCTTCGTCTTGGACGACGCCGAGTGTAATGGTGAATGGTGGTGAATGGGTTCCGGCGCGGGGGGGGGGGAGTGAGCTGGCTGGACGATGCGTCCTCCTGGGTTCTGAAGGGTGCAGAACTGTGGAAGATGTACTCCTCTGCCTCTGTGTGCGACGTAGGATCACCTCCACTGCTACTCTGGCCGGGGTCAAACCGCGAATGGATGGAGTGACCATCATCCACGGATATGCTCCCAGTCGTGGTCTAACAGCTGTAGGTAAATAAGCTGCAAGTGGCTCCCTCTCTTGTTGCCAAACAACACGCCGGATATGAGGAAGAACAAGTACGCTCGAGCGTATCTCTGTACTGTGCCGTCATCGGCGTCCGCAGGCAAGCCCTGGAAAGTATCTCGTAACCAGACCGTCCTCAAGGCGGAGCCCCTAACATCGTTGGGACCCGGCTGCACCCCGAGAACCCGCACAACCAATCCAACGGGATCGACTAGAAATGATCCCGTCACCGCAGTCCCCTGTACTGGAAGGCGCGTCAGTATTGCCACGTCCCGCAATGTCACAGTCGCCTCCCCAACTGGTAGGTGGAAGGAGTGCGTCTCCTGCCTCCATCTCTCCACTAACGCCGTGACAAGGTGTCGGTCGATCTCCCTGAATCCCAAGCGATGTACACCGCCAAAGCCAGCGTACGTCACGTACTCAAGGCAGCGATCATGGACAACCCAGGGGGTCCTGTAGTGCCTGCACTGTAGTGGCTTCGCTACGTCACCCTGAAAACACAGGAGCATTTATAAGTAACAAAAGATAGTACATCAAAGAATCCAAAAACGTTAAAGATGAATCATTACCGTCAGGTTCCATACGTCGACGCTCCGATGGGTGTCCTGTAGTGTCAGGACAGAAGGGTCAACAGGTCCGGGTGTCCTATCCCGTACGTCCATGATATCTGTTCATTGAAAACGTTACACACCAAACACTAACACAATATATTGAATACTAATTTCGATTGAAAGGCATAAACAGGAAATCTCGAACATCCAACGTACAAAATAAAATTCATCGAATTGAACACAATAACACATGATGTAGAAAATTATAACTGTTTCATCAAAATAACACCACTACATACTACTATATCAAATAACACATATACACTTAGGTCCTATGTTGGTCTAGATGGACAAGTAGTGCGGTTGTGACCTTGCTGGTGACAACGGCTGCATTTGGTTGGGGGCCGGTTGTTGTCATCCATCTCATTGCGTATGCGCTTCGACTTTGGACGACCTTTTCCACGTATCATTGTGCCGTCCGGAATGAGTTTAGGGCCTACGTACTGTGCCCACTGTGCCCAGGTTGTCTCGCAGGGGATCGACCAGAACTGTGGTGCATAGGTGTTCATGTAGGCGGCCGACTGCAACAGAGGGTCCACCCAAGGCCGTTCTGATAGTGAGTATGTAGCACAGACTGCTAGCACATGAGAACATGGGAGGTGGAATATCTTCGGTTTGTTGCACGTACACGTTCTCAACTGCCAGTTCACCGTATGCTTGTGGCCTCCTTTATTACCAACTCTCTCTCCCCTCTCTGTTGTCACCTGGTAAATATGCAATCGCCGGTTATAGGCATCCACTCTATGATATCTGGCTTTAGCGGTGTTCTTCTCGAGGATGGCAGTGACCTTTGGGGGGTATGGAAGTCCCTGATCAGACCTAGCCTCAGAAGACTCCCTTCTCAAAGTGAAATACTTGTTAACTCTGTGGAAGGTTAACTCGACAAGGGACATAATCGGTAGAAACCGAGCTCCTTTCAGCACATTGTTGAATGTCTCCGAGAAGTTAGTAGTACATATACCATACCTGCGACCACTGTCGTGAAACAGAGACCACATAGGGAACGGGACTTGAGCAATGTACTCAATGGCCTTGGGACAGGCCTTACCAATGAAACACAGATCAGCTTGAAGTTTTCTTTCTTGCCTTTGGTACGCAGCGGCCTTGAACATGTCTCTCATGTCGTTACTTCACACGTGAGTCTTCAAGTTAGAGGCTATGTGGCGGACACAAAACCTGTGATACGCTCGGGGCTGGGTGAATCCAACATTAGGATCATTCATTGCTGCAATGATCCCAGGATGCCGATCATAAATAACACAAAGGCCATCCCGTTGCGTGACACGATCTCGAATACAACCTAGGAACCAAGACCAGCTGGAAGTGTTTTCCCCTTCAACCACCGCAAATGCAATAGGAAATACTTGGAAGCTTGCATCAACACTCGTAGCAACCAACAGTGTTCCTTTATACTTCCCGTACAAGTGCGTCCCATCGATACAGATAACAGGCATACAATGTTTAAAGCCATCGATACAAGGACCGAAGGCCCAAAACACTCGTTCAAACACTTCCATGTTGCTGTAGTATACACCATCCACTAAAGCTTTGTGTTTCCATATGACACATATTCCCGGGTTCGACCGTAGGAGTGCTTGCATGAAGTGGGGAAGTCTGTCATATGAACTCTCCCAATCCCCAAATATCTCAGCTATAGCTTTCTCCTTGGCATACCACGCTCGTCGATACGGGACATCGAAATGAAATTGCTTCGAGATCAGTTCCTGTATGAATTCCACTTTCAACGAAGGATCTTTCCGCACAAAGGACTTCACATACTCGGCTATTACGGACGAATCCAAGTGTGGGTGATCATTAGATAGTACTTCAGTGATACATGTCTCCCGATGCGGGCCTTTGTACGTGACTATGGTAAAACCACGTGAGTGCTCACTCGATTTGGTACCCCGTAGCATCCAACCACATTTCTTCTTGCATCGCAGATGTAGGACACCATCATTCGAGGTCACTGTGGTGTAGAATTGATTCCTCTTAATAGAATACATCTTCACCATTTCTTGAAGCAGTTTCTTGCTCTCAAAATACATTCCCTTCTCAAATTCTCCCCCGGGAACAAAAGAGGTGTGGCTACCCGATTCGGCCCAATACTGATCAACTTCATAGTTCTCGGGTACCTCACTGAACCAAGGTATGGGAGTTCTAACCAACGGCTGACCATCTTCCACCTGTGTAGGTTCATCATCCCCCTCTTCGTTCTCGTCCTCATCATCCATTTCCGCATACACATCATACACCGACAATTCATTATTCACAACATCATCAAAATGATTTGGCTCTTCTCGAAACGGTGAACCATCATCACCTTGCATAGGAGAGTAGCTATGCAATTGCATCGACAAAGATGCCACGGTGTTCGATGACGACGGAGCAGGCTGGCCGAACACTGTCACGCGTCCCCCCGCATGTACTGGTGAAGCTATATGAGAACTAAAAGGCAAGTGAAATTGGTCGTCCTGCATCATTCGAGTGAAAGAACCCATCCCATATGCATTCGATGGAATGTGGTTTGCGGGCTCTTGGAAGGACGCGGTGTTGTAATCAGAGACATATGTAGCTTGCTGTTCTGCCCGAGTACTTTGTTGGGTACATATAGGCACTGTTTCTACATATATCTCATTGGGAAAACCCTTCATTCCTACCATGCTCCTCAAACCTTTTAAATGTCTGTTCGTAGATACAGGTAACACTTGCACCCCATGACCAGTATCACACCTCATTTTAAGGTTCAGTTCAACAGTCATAGGGTTTGAACCAATACAACTGTGAACCTCATTCATCAGATCAGTCATAGTCATGTTCGGTTCAAGTGTTATAAGGTCCATATTCCCTCCACTGTACTCCACATTTGATCCATTACACAAAATTTCACCTCCCCATCGACATAACAACGCTACATTTTGTCCAGCCATATTCTACATAACAACTGTTTCGGGGTTTTCTGATGTCCTGCGGGAGAGTTACAATTCCGAGACTGGAACCGGACGCCTGTACCTGCAAAACAACGGAGACTCCTTGTGGTGAGAGCTCCGCCTCCAACGATCAAGTTAGTACTTGTTTGAGGAGTAATAAATGCGGAAATTAAAGTGATTGGGTCTCTCTAGGTGAGAGTTTTTAATGTGAGTTTTTAGCCTAATCTCCCTTAATGAGGATTAAGGGAGGTATTTATAACCCTGGGAAACGTGCCAATCCTAGGTTTAGGTTAACCTAGGGCTGATTGGGCTTTCCTCGAAACTTGGGCCTGGGTGGCCGGTTATCCCAGGTGTCATGGGAAGGACACGTGTCGTGTCGTAATTGGTCCATGGTGGACGGATCATTGCTTGACACGTGGCAGGCTCCTATTGACCCATGTTACGGACACATGGCGGAACCTGATTGGTCCACTTGTCAGATGGTGATTGGTGGGGAAAAATCCCCTAATCATTTGCCCCTCACAGGTGGCACGTGACTGGTCACGTGTTACCTGTGACAGGTATCGCCCTGTAACAGGCGACGACCTGCTACAGGTGTCACTCGGCGAGAGGCCGAGAGATTCTCCCGCCAAAATTTTGAATTCTGGAAGTGACCCTTCGCCTTCTCACTTCGCCTATATAAAGGAGTGTTGACTTCGGTCATCTTCACACTTGAAAACTTTGTGAGAGAACATTCGGACCCCTGAACTTTCTCTGACATTTTAGACCCTTTCTGCCTACCGCCTGCTCTGACAAGCCGACTGCACAGGATTTTCAAAACTCCATCAACGTCACTCGTTCAGGTAACCGTCGGTTCTCTTACTCTTAATTTTCTTTATTTTATTCTTTTTTGAAATGGCACCACGGAAGCACACGACACGACCTAGGTAAGTGATCAGACGGTCACCGGGGACGGCTGAATCTAAGACTAGGAGTGCCGCATGCCCTTTTCTGGACCCATCTTTGCCCTTTATACAAAGTCCGACTGTATCTGTGTCTATGCAGAGCATGATGGCCAGAACAAAAAAGACTGCCAGGATCTCAAACTCAGACGGCTCCTCCCACAGGGTGCCGATTAGTGAAACATCTGACCAGGCGCCAGATGTGGAAGTGAAACAAAGCGGCTTGAAAGCCGGCAGTTCTGAGGGAGGAGTCAAAGTGACCCCTTCCCCTTTTACAGTTGACAATTCTACATTCTCTCCTGCTCCTTTTAAAGGAGAGGAGGCGGGCCCCTCCGGGAGAGGGGAGGAGTCGTCCTCTTCGGACTCGTCAGAGGACGATTCCGAGTCTAGCTCTTCTGGCCATGCTTCTCTGGACACAGAAGAGAAAAACAGTCGCCTGCAAGAGACGAGGCTTTCTCACGCAGTTGAGAAGGGGGACGATTGGGCGGAGCCATCCGCCTCTCACCGAGAGCAAAATACCCCCTACTACTGCACGGTACCTCGGGGCCGGATCACGGCCATGCAAGAGAAAGTGGAGAGCTTTATCGCAAACCACACAATGGGCCCCGACTTTTTAGTGTTTGTGCCGGATCCAGAAGACACAGTCGTCTGGCCGGCTGGTACCAGTTATGATAGCGCGTGCTTTGGCTGCTACGAGGCGGCCATCAAGGCTGGGCTGCGCTTCCCACTACATCCGGCTGTTCAGCGGATCTTGGATGGGTATGAGTTGGGGTTATGGCAATTAGCCCCGAACTCCTGGGTCAACGTACTCGGCTATGTGGCCGGGTGCGAACTGCACGGGGTGGAGCCGAGCTTCGAGGCTTTCGCCCACATGAACTACCTCAGCCGGACCCCTAAGGCAGGCGGTACCGGCTGGTATCAATTGACGAGCCACAGGGGCTACCTCATGACGAGAGGTAAAGCAAACAAATGGAAGGACTGGCGGAGCACCTTCCTCATCATTGAGAGTTCAGACACAGAGCTGAACAAGCGCTTCAACAGGTGGAACAGGAATCCGCCCCTTCTTGCAGGCGGCCGCAGCATGCCGCCTGTTCCCCCCAAGGCTAAGAAAGAGATCCTAGATAAAGGACTCTTCAAAGTAGAGTCGAAGGTGAACTCTACTTCAGGGGTACGAGAGCAAGTACCCCTGCACTGCGTCCCGAGCTTCAAATAGCTCTACGACGAGTACTTTTTGGCCGCCTGTGGCCTCAGCAATCGGTGCTCAAGAGGTAGCCGGCCTTTCGAATACTCTGTTGTTCCATTCATTTCTTGTTATGACTTTTATTAACTTTGCTAT